TTTTGTAAGAAATTTTGATTAAATTTAATAAAGATAAGAGCAAGGTCTCACCATTAACATTAAAAAAAAAAAAAAAAGAATTTTACTACAGTATATATATAGCTATATATATATAACGTTATTAAAATAATAATATATGCATATAAAAAAAACAAATCATAGTTTATTTTAGAATGCTCCTGCTCGGGTTCGAACCGAGGACCTTCTGCGTGTAAAGCAGACGTGATAACCACTACACCACAAGAGCCTACTCATTGAGTAAAAAAATTTTTTTTTAAACAGATAAATTGATTTTTATAATACAATTTGACCGGGGTTATCACCCAAGAATGGTGATCCTTTTTTTGGCCATTGTCTTTCTCCGACTCACTGATTCAGTCATTGTACTGGGTCTTAGTGTACCGCCACTGTTACAATCTGAAAAATACTGCGTATTATTTCAAGTATAAACCTCGGAATAACTTCCCAAAATCACGCTTGCTCTCCCTAAAGAGGGCTCGCTAATTTCCTATCGTACATTGAACGAAAAGAGTTAATTCTCTTTTTCATTTTTCATTTCGTTTTTTATTCCTTTTCTTTTCCCCTTTCCCCTTTTAAAAATAAACGGCTTGTACATACTCGCAGCCAGGGTATGTACATATGTTCTGCCGAATCCTTAATGCCCGGTCCAATCAGCCAACTTTTTTATGATGGGTTGCCCGTACGCAACCTTGTGCAGTATCCTGCCCTGGCGGCTTCAGGTTCCAAACAACAACCACAAAAACCACCTTTCGCTCTTCCTCAGGCGACTGAAGCTAACACCTTACAGCCGTTAATCACGCCTCCAACTCCTGTTCCCACCGAGGTGTCTACCCCCACCGAACTTGGGGAGTTTGCTTCAAACATTGTATACCAGATGTGGCATGTCAAGGTGACTGATTCTACCTTGGTTGGCCAAGTTCCTCCCTCGTCCCCATTGCCAAGTCAACCCGCTAATTTCTTTCAAACTTCAAGTTCCCAATTTAAGAACTTTTGCGTTCAGGTAAGATTTAAAAAAAAACTATGGGATGATGTGAGGCACGATTGTGTTGTCACATGAAAGGGAATTATATTAGAAGCATTTATATGAATTAATTTTTGTGTTTACAAAATTACGTTATTTGTGTTTAAACATTTAAGACGTATTAATGTGACCATATAATTTTAATAGTCATAATAATATTTATTTTATTCTATTTTACTTTAATCAAGGTATTATTACAGACACAATTGTCCAACACTGTAGTTATTTTGTCCTTAAAATACGTGCAAAGGTTTGCCAAAAGCGGTAGATCCGTTAATTTTGGGGAGGAAGGACCGGAGTATAGATTGTTTACTATTGCATTGATGCTGGCGAATAAGTTCCTTGATGACAATACATTTACAAATAAAACGTGGTCAGAAGTTACTAATATCCCTGTCAAGGAGATCAACAGAATTGAGCTTGCATTTTTGGAATGCATGGATTTTAAAATGTATGTCAGTGGTTCTGAGTATTCCCATTGGCTCGAATGCTTGAAAGAATATACAAAAACGCAACAACAATTGTATGTTCATCAAAGGCAGCGTTCTTCTTCTGATAATTTGAAGAATGGATCATTAATTACAGCTCAAAATCAACATCAGATGGATAACAGACCTTCTGAAAGGCTCGTACAATTCAATCAAGAAGCACCTTCATATTTCGATTCTGCGAATACTACGGCTCCTGTTCTTGGTCAATGCATTACATCTGCATCTCAATTACCAACCGGGATGCAACAACTTTCTATGCCCACAGCAATTGGACCGACAACTTCAGGAATAATACAACCCCCTGCAATTGCTCGTGTACACCATTCGTTTGGCCAGCACTCACCTTCTCCTGCTCAATTGGCTTTACGCAATCCTTATTATGGTTCTTTGCGAGATAACGGTGGTTCATTTCACGTTAAAAGACATAGTATGCCCACAATGAATCTTAAAAATATTATTGATCAAGCACCACAGCAAAAAGTTAATCAGTTAAAGCCGTCAAATGTCAATTCTCTTGCATACCATCTTAATGCAAGATTGGATGTCCAACAGTTTAAACAGTCCAATTCTAATTCATATCACAATGCTTCCTCAAAAGTTTCTGGAAGTCAAATAGACACTAATACATATGGGTCATATGGAAACGTTGAAAATCGGCGTGGCGAACATCATTCTCGTCTCAACCATCAGGTATGTACCATAAATAATTCTGATTTGTTTAATTTTTTCACAATTCATTAATGCAGTTATTAATGGTATTCATAGACATCAACAGTAGGGTTACGACCCAATCCTTTTTTTTGAGCTATGACACTACTATATAGGTTGGGTTTGGAATCTGGATTTCTATTACATCTGGGATAATAACCCAAATCCAAACATATATGTCCCATTTTCGATCAACAGTGTCAAACTCTAACAAATCAAATTTGTAATCGATGCTAAAGTATTAAACTTCAGAAATTAAAACTAGGAGTGATTTAGTGACTAGACAAGATATGTTGAAAAGTGATATGTTAGGTCTAATAGTAATATCGAATATGTATACAATATAGTGGCGATCAAAATAATGCAGCAAAAAAAAACAAAAACAAAAATTGTTTAGATCGTATTTACACAATTTCAATGCATCATTTTTTTTCTTTTTTTTTTTCTTTTTTTTTTTTTTTTGTAAATAGTATGGGTTTACATATAAAAACCTTAGAAAGTGTTAATGGGCCAAAATTTTCACGGGCATGAGCTTTATTTCAAATAGCATGTTGCATTACTTTTGCTCGTTTTAAAACATAACACGGATATAAAATAAAAATTTTTTTATATGCCGTTAACTCTCTTTTATAACGAACTTTTTTATAACGAACCCACTCAATAACGAACTTTTAAAAAAATTATCTTATTATAGGGTTCGGTATAGAAATATATTAAATACTCTATAAATCACTCTATATAAGGAATTTTTAAAAATTAACTGTCAATTCGTTATAAAGAGAGTTAATTGTATATAAAATAAAAAAATTTTTTTGTATTTATATTTCATGCCATTATTAATGAATGTTCTAATGTATCTATGATATCATGAATTTATTTTGGCAAGGATGAATTAGATTAATAAAGAATCTAATTCATTTTCTACTACTTATGTGATTAGAACTTGCTTCAAGATTTTAATTATATTAAAAAACGTGTTTGTTAATTCAAATTTATATTAATATTTTTTATTAAGTTAGAGTAAGATTTCTTAATAAAGATTTCATAATTGTTACGTATGAAATAATACCATTGTTAAAATTTAAGAAAAATGTATTCGTAACAGACGTTACATGTAACACCCCTGTAGTTCAACAATAGTAGTTAGTTAGGGCTTAGGTTACACTAATTTTTTATTTATTATTACTGGCTGTACATACTAAGATGTTACAAATAAGTATGTACCAATTAGATTCGTCCACATAATAAAAATTCGATTTACATATTAATTATGAATTTAATTTCTATAATAAATATCCATTTTAGAATTGCAATCCGCATTATCCGTATCTGAATTAGGATAATTCAGATCAATGGCCAGATCGGATACTTGGATAACGGATACGTATCTGATAATTATCTGGATACGGATTTTTTTGAATCTAAATATATTTATTATATACTTAAGTATAACAATCTAACCATGATACTTTTTATTTTCTTTCTATACTTAAAATGTATTAACTATTCAGGGTTATTGTTTACAAAAAATTCTTACTTGTGCATATCTACTAAACTATTTTTAAACCAATCTTATAAAAAAAAAAATAAGGTACCATCTTTTGAAGTTTCATATTCTGTGAAAATTGGGTTTTTTAAAACAAATTTTAAAATGCGCAATGAATGTTGTTGCGCAATTATATACTCTGCCACAAAATACAGTGACATTAAACGAGATGAGACATTGGTGTATCTTAAACGCCACACCCAACGGCACAAATTTTTCTTTATTATGCAATGATATACATATTTTTTTTCAAGTAAATTTTAAACTTATATTTTTATAGATTATCACGTGTTTATGGGTCACCGAATTACAAGAGGATATCCAATAAAAACTTGACATAATTATTCCGAAAGAATAAATATCTGATTTTTGAGTGTATTCCTTTCTGTTTGTATAAAGCATTATTATTAGCTAGTGGAAGCCGTAGGTTTCTTTTTCTTTTCCGCCTCAGCCTCCTTTTCTTTTTCAATTTCACTAACTATAGCCTCAACCTCTTCAATTTCCAAATTCTTTTACCCAACAAAAATAATAACGGATTTAACAACCAGATGTAAGCAATAATTACAAGTATATATTTTTCTTACCTTAATAACACTATCAGCTGTCATTAAAGCTATTTCAATGTTCTTAGCCCCAGTTTGTACAACCTCTAACAAAGACTTAACAGTTAATTTAATAGTCTCATCTTTAGTCAAACCTTCTTTATAATTTTTTTCCAAAAATTCGCGAACAGTCTTTGAGCTTCTACCAATCGCGTTAGCCTTATTGTAATCAACAATAATAATTTGTAAATAAAAATTATTGCAATAAATAAGTAAATGCATTTATTTAATTACCTTCCATGCCGAATATATACCAGACGGATCCGTTTGATAGAGTCTAGGCGTTTTATCATTTGGGTCGAAACCAATGATGAGTGTTGAGATTCCAAAAGGACGAACACCCCCACTTTGCGTATATTTCTACATATAAAATAATTAAAAAAATTTCATAGATAATCTATTTGAAAAAAAAAAACAGATACCTGTTGAACGCCAGCAATATGTCGAGTTATATATTCAATTGTTACAGGATCTTCTACGGTAAGTCTGTGACTTTGACATTCTATCCTAGCCTTATTGACGAGGACTCTTGCGTCAGCATTTAGTCCTTAGATTTGAATTTGGACAGCAATCAATAAAATTAAAAGTCCAGAAATTTATATGGCACTTGAAAAAGAACAAGAAATTTTTATACCAGCAAAGGCCATGCATACATGATCATCTAGCATCACAATCTTCCGTACAGTCCTAGGATCTTGTAGCTTGAGGACAGATTTTTTTTCGACACCGAGAACTACACAATCGTTACCACGAACTCCTACCTATATAAATTCAAGACTGTTCTTAGGAGATAATCATATGGATTCATGATCGATTACATTTCATTACTTAATCTCACAAGAAAGTAGATTTGAAATAACCAGCCGTTTTCATAAATACTTTTACTAGGATTACTTACCGCACAAGTACCTTTCCTAACAGCTTCTAATGCATACTCGACTTGAAATAAGTGACCGTCCGGAGAGAAAACGGTCAAAGCTTTGGGCAAAATCAAGAGTATCAATAGTTAAATACTTTTCTCATTTAAACAAAATAAAACTAATTGATAAAAAAAGTAAAATATACCGCGATCATATGAGCCAGCCATCGTTAAGTAGTTTAGAAAGAAGATTGTGCATTCGTATATGCAAGATATGTGATCATTAGATTATCCGTCACAATTACTGCGCCACGATCGAATGTAACGTACGTACGTACGTACTACCTTATACTTGCTTACGTAATAACTTCGCGTAAAATGTCACGACTTCATCATCAAAAACGCTAACGTTTTTGACCATCCATAAAAATCTGGGGAACATGCATTAATACGATCTGCAAGCACTAATCGTGTAATTACTTAAATAGCTGTTATAATTACAAATCACCAAAAGAAACTATGGAAGTCGATACCTTATCAATTATTTTACTTTTTTTGATAGTTTTTTTCACGTTCCTATCAATACGTGAAGCACCAAATTCTGACGTTCATCCTTTGTTACTTACCTCCCAATCTGATGCTGCAAAAGTGCGATATCCTGGCGAAACAGCTGTGTACAGGTCTAATAATTCTCAACATGGAATGCCATTATTAACTACACCAGAAAATGGGGTTAAGACTATTGCAGAAATGTTTCAGCATGGCTTAGAAGGAGGAAATGATTGTTTAGGCTCCAGAGATAATAACGGCGCGTATACTTGGGTATACACAACTATCTTTGAATGACCATTTTTAATAAATTTACTTATTTCTAATATTTTTTCACCAATTTTTCACTCATTAAATTCTTCAAAAGCAATCATATCGTAAGTGCCTATTTTAAACTTATATCCCTATACTAAATCGGTTCTGGCTGTATAAATGCAAACCTTTTGATTCAAATCAAAACAGGACAAATATTTGAAAGAATAACAAATTTTGGATCGGGATTGATTAAATTTACCGGGTTAACTCCCAAATCGAAAGAAAAATTCGGCATTTTCATGAAAAATTGTCCAGGTATTAATAGTCTTGTTGTTGATCCTTTGTGATATCTGAGTGATAAGACTTATCTCTATTGTTTTAAAATATTTGTAGAATGGGTGATTGCGGATTTGGGTAACTTTTAAAATAAGTTTTACATGTTTTTTGTTTCACGGAATCACTAGTAAAGCAACGTACTATCTATTTTATAATTGCAAAGCTGCCTGCCATTATAGTTTGATTACAGTAGCACTACCTAGCATTCTTCCTCGTGTCAATGATGTTGTCAATCAGATTAATCTCACCGAAATTAGTGTCATCGTGGCATCCAAGGATACTCTTCCGATTGTATTATCTGCAGCGTCCTCTTGTAAAACATTAAAATATATTATAATGACGGAATCTAATTTATCCAAAGATCAAAATGAAAAAGCTGAGACGTTAGGGTTAACTCTCACGACGTTCAAAGATATGGAGAAATTAGGTTCCACTTCTAAATTGGAATGTGTCGTTGCTGGTAACTAATTTTAAAGATATCTTTCAATTTCAGATAACTTTAAATTTTGCAATTAATTAGTGCCTTATTAGCACCGGAGGATACAGCAACCATTGTTTTTACAAGTGGATCCACATCAGGAGTACATAATTATTATATATTTCACTACTGTCGTCAAATTCCTTTCATATTAACACAGTGTTTTGGTATATATGTTTTCATCAGGGACCGAAAGGAGTCGAACTAAAACACTCTGTAAGTTTTTGTTTTCTTATTTCATACTCTTCAAAGCATAAAAATTATATTGATTTGTATATATATTTGTTAATAGAACATCTTGGCAAATGTTGGTGGGTATGAATGACTTTGAGAAAGAAAGCCAGCCGCGCGTTGCTTATAAATACTTTCTTTCACAGCTGGAACCCTTGCTGTTGTGCACGCTACCCAGAAAATTAAAACCTCTGATAGACATCTATCATATTTGCCTCTCGGTAAGGCCATTACGAAATCTTGTATTTGCCATATATTGTTTCGCAAACTTAATTGACATTTCTAAATTAGCATATATGTTCGAAAGAATTACGGTCATGGTGTTATTATTTTCGGGTGCATCGATCGCATTTTACAGTGGAAAGATTTCTACTGTTCTACAAGATGCAGAGGAGGTCAAGCCGACTATTTTCACCAGGTATGGTATTCACTGGTTTTACTTTCTTTTATAAAATTATTAGCTAATTATAATTATATAATATATATAGTACACCCCGCATATTGTCTTTATTTCATGAGAATATTTTAAAATCCTTAGAAAACAAGTGGTTTTTTAAAAGAGGATTCAATTCTAAATATAAACACTTAAAGAAAGGAAACCTTGTTACTAATTCCATATGGGATATTTTAGTATTTAATCAAGTTAAGGCCAAATTTGGAGGCCAAGTTCGTGTTATTGTTACGTCATCTGGTATAAATATTGTATTTTTTTCAATTTATGTTTTCTTAAAAAGAGATTAATAAGATTTTTTGTAGGTCCAATTACGCAAACCCTACTCGATTTTTTTCGAATTACCGTCGGGTGTCAAGTTCTTCAAGCTTATGGCCTTACGCAATGCAGTGGCGCAGTAACAATTAATGCGTTTTATGATTACTATTCAATTGATCAAAACGGTCATGACTCACATACAGGTGGTCCGCTTGCTTGCAACGAGTTAAAGTTAATAAATTACGAAGAAAGAGGTTACACTGTCGAAGATGTGCCTAATCCCAGAGGCGAAGTATGAATTAACCATATCATTGTATTTTTTATCTTGTATATTACGTTTTAATTTGGTATTATAAATTTCAGATTTGTGTACGAGGTCCCAATGTTATGAAGGGTTATTACAATCTTCCTGACGAAACATCTCGTGTTATTGATGCAGATGGATGGTTTCATACTGGCGACATTGGAATGATTTTACCAAATGGAACTTTGAAAATTATTGATCGAAAATAGGGATAATTGTTTCTTTCATTTCTTTATATTGGTTTATACTTAAAATTTATTCTGGAAAATTGACGTTTGATTATTTGCTTGATATACTTATAAGATTCGACTTATAATTTATTTTGTACTAAATATTAAGTATTTTAAATGGGATTCTGAGTCCACTTAGGTGAATTTAAAAAATGGAATTAAATGATAAAGATTTCAAGCGAATGTCTAATTTCTTATATCTTCGAAAAATTTATTCTATATTTTACATTTGATACTATGCGGATTAGAGATGTAGAAATGGATCCATTTCTTCAGTACAAATGAACAATCTAAATTTTACTAATTATAAGCTATCCTTACAAGTTGTCATTGGCTAACTGAATAACGAAGATGATGATTTCTGTGATTCACAGAATTTCTCTTAATCACAACCAACCACAGAAATTGCTTTTAATCCTCGCAGAATATCAGAATTCTAAATAAAAAATAGAAAATATCGTAGAATTTACATAAAAATTTTATATAATTCAGGCCGGCTTCTGGAAATCCCGGAAAGGTAGCAATACCAATTTTTCGATTTTTAAATTTTTTCAATCAATTTTTAATTATAATTATCAGATCAGATCGGATGGATATTTTTAAAAATCCTGATCAGAATTAAAGAAAAAGTTCGAATCCAAATATATATTTATCATTTATTTGCTCAATATTCGGTATAAATCTCCCTTTTCTTTTCCACCTTATTTTTTTCAATAGGTCGGCTATAACCCAGAGGTTGATCATAAGCCTTAGGAGTTCTAAATCTTCTAAGAACACCAAGACTGTTCATTTCTAAACTTAGCGGTCTAATTCCCAAATCTTCAAAAGTTTTTGCCCCTAGAGTAATTTTATCACTAATAAATAATCTTTCAATGTCTTCAGGAGAAATTGTTAGTAAAAAAGGAAGATAAAATGCTTTCGTAACAGCTAATGCTATTGGTTTTGGGATATTAAATCTAAGTCTACGATTATCAATTAGTTCATCAATTAGATCAAGAACTTGTTCGAAAGTATATTCACGAGGACCATATAATTCATAAGTCTCTCCCGTGGTTGATTCATCTTTAAACATGCGCTCGAGAGCTAAAGCAACATCAAAAACCTATAAAAGTAATATTTAATCAATGAAATCTAAATTTATAAAAATCATAATAAATAAATAATTTACATACATGAACAGGTCGAACTTTTGATCTGCCACCATTAAGTATATATTCATATTTTGTAGCTACAAAATTATTAATACTTTACAATTAAAACTAAACATTAAAAAAATTATATATATATGAATACTACTATGAATCAAACTAACATGCATATCTCGTTAAAAATCTGTCTTCCTGTCCATATATCGCAGAAGGACGAACTATAGTTGCTCCGGGAAATTCTTTTCTCACAGCTTCTTCACCCAAAGCCTATTAAATATAATAATATCATTTTAAATCCCTCTAGAATTAAATTAAACCAAATTTCAATAATTAAATTATTTATACTTTTGTGCGATAGAATTTGGATGGTGAATTTTTATCAGCATTCAATGCTGATACATGTACAAATCGAGAAACACCAAGTTCTCTTGAAATTCTGGCAATTTTAGCAGCACCTTCGACATGGACTTTCTCAAAAGAGAAATTTCTGCAAATTTTTTGTAGCAATGATTAACGTATACTAGCATTAATTAATTAAATTCAACCGTGAATCAATTTTAATTTTACCTTGTCTCATGATCTCTACCTATCAAGTTGTAAACGATATCAGAATGTCTAACAGCCTCCTCAATATTTTTTTCATTGCGAAGATCAAACTCCTAAATAATTTATTATACAAGAATACATGTTAAATATATATGTGTGTGTGAAATTAAAAAAAAAGATCACGCACATACGTACCAGAGGAACAACTTGACCTAAATCCCCACAAACTTTTAAATGTCTTTTTGAATCTTCATCTCTGTACGGTACAACTACTTGAGTCCCTTGCCTGGCTGCGACGTTGTTTGAGGTAAGTCCATCAAACATTAATCCAGTAGATATTTGGCTTTTTATCACCTACCAAGTTTACTAACAATGTAACGCCCTAAGAATCCCGTACATCCAAAGACAGTTGCTATATGGCCGCTTACTGAAGATCTTCAAAAAAAAAAAATTTTTTTAATATCTTGTAATTGTAAAAAAAAAATACATTATATATCAATAAACGTACCGGCCTCCTGCACCATATTTGATGATAGGTTTTCCCGTTCTTTGCCTTATAATAAGATCATGTGCAAATCGCTACGTAGAAAAAGCAATTATTTTCTTCCCTTTTTTATAACTACTTATTAAAAATACTATTATACCTTTTGGCTAAGCGTAGAAACGCACAAATTCCTCCTAGAAACACTGAACATGGGTTTGAGATATTATAAGATTTTTAAGATGCGATTAATCGTATTTTATTGGCTACAAATATGCAATCTGTCGATCCTGAAATTTTACGACGTACGTACAGTCATCGGCAAAAGTAATGCCCGATAAAATTTCCAATGAATATTTTATTATATAATTAGTATAAATTTTTAGATAGCCTTATGCATAACCTCAAACTTATATAAATTCAAAGTTATCAGAATGCTCTACAAGATATTTAGCTTAGGGCCTTATTTTATCACTATTTTGCTTATTAAAATTAGAACCTTAGAACCGTGATAAAGTCCGAAATAAATTTTTTTTTAAATTCGGAATGTAATCGTTGAGTCACATGTGCTTTATTATAATAAATACAAAAAGAAAATAATCGGATGGGATTTGAGTATTTGTACAACTTAAACATTTTAAAATGGGGCTAAAGCCAGGTGCGTTCACGTGACTAACAGCCAATCAAAATATAAAATTTGATTAAACCAGATCAGCCTGACGAGACAAAAACAAAAAAACAAGTGTCTAAACCTGTCTTGAAGCACTAATAAAAAATATCAGAAAGACAAATTAATTTATAAAAACTCTTTTAACTCTAACCTTTAACTAACCCTTACTCTAATTTTAATTAAATAATTAAAATGTGATGCCGTGAATGAAGTCACGTGGCATCTTTTTGTCACGAGACTATGACCCAGTCCCATGTCCTGGGACTGATATTCGGTAATTATGATGTATTGATGATGAGCTTAATCTAATTGTTTTGGGTAATATATCAGTATAGTCGATTTGTAAGAGATGATATATTGTGGGAGAATATTTATTTGATTTGAGTAAGTATGAAGTCATGATAGCTGGCCTTTTTTAAAGAGAGAGAGTTTGTTTTCATTCTCCTTCTTTTGTCTTTGCTGCTAGCTCGACGCAAGTCCAGCTTTGTCGTTTGTACCCACCTACCCACCACTCGGTAAAGATTTAGAGAAGGTAAATGGTGGGTGTTTGGGATATTACTCAGGTGCTAATTGCATTATTTGGCAGCCCATCAGGCAGCTTGATGATCAGTGATAAGTAAAATTTTAGAATAGGACACGATGCTAGGAAATAACTGTGGATCATGTGAGCAGCGAGGCAATATTCCATATTATATATTTCATAGTCATGTTAGTGTACATGTAGAGTCGAGTGACAAAACATATAAACACATCCATCCCTCTTAAAATAGTTAAGATCTTTATTGATCATCTAACAAATTTTATTTATAGATTGTTGCAAAAAATCACTTCTAAGATAAGTATCTCATAGAGTACTCTGATAACTTTAGACTTCTAAATAAAGTTTGAGATTATATATTAGGCTATCTAATTATAAAAAAAAAAATTTATACTAATTAAAACAAATTTTTTGGTTTGTGTATTAAATCAAAACTTTAAAATTTTTTATTTATTACTAAGTAAACTTTTTATTTTTAATAAAAATATATATAATTTTATTTATAGTAGTAAAAGTATAGATACTGTTACAATGTTATAGCCTTCTTGGTATTGTTATAGCAAGGTAACAAGATCACTTGGTGCAGTGATATACTTTATGAATATACATAAGATGAATATGAAGTATATATTTTACTTTACAGCAGGAGGCAAATAGTTCAAGATAATAACAGTTTATAAAGATGATAATATTTTATTAAAACAAGTTTATGGTAATATCCTTTACTATAGGAATAACCTAAAGAGAGAATATTACACTATACAAATATAAGAAGAGTAATAAGAGTAGTTAGGTAAAACTAGATTCTATGAGAGAGTAGAGAACTCTGACTTGAGCAGAAGGGGCAAAAGGCTCCCTTTTTATAACTTTTCTACACATAGGAGGTGTAATAGCTAAACTGTGTAAGAGGCACTATGTAGAGGCACTTAGAAGCACTTGTATTTAGAGGCACTTGGAGACACTTGTGTGCAGAAACACTTGGAGGCACTTGTACAGAGGCACTTGGAGGCACTTGTATAGAGGCACTTGGAGATATTTGTGCTACCTTAGGTATAGTATTACTGTGCTGAATATAACTAGCCAATAACATCTCTATAACTAATAAATAATAATACAATAATAAGAATAATAATAAAATGCTAACTAATACTATGTTAATAAATATATAGTAACTAATAATATAATGATAATACAATTGTTTGAATATAAATTAACTATTCTATGCTTCTGTCACACTGTGTTACAACCTACTTTGTAACACTATCAACTATAGCACAGACTAATTTTCAAATATCATCATCTATAGGATTTGAACTCTAAACCTGCCACTTAAAGAGGGTAACAATTAAACCACTACACTAAGTTACTATATTTTTTAAAAACTTAATTTTTTTATATACAAAATTTGATAAATCTTCAAAAATTGGTTAGCAAAATTTTTTTTTATATTAATAATAAAATTTTTTTTTTAATTTAGCAGTTTTGCCTTAACTGTTTATTAGTACTCTAAAGTATTGCGGTTACAAATATACAATATACATTTACAACTATCTAATTTATTATAGATAAAACTTACCCGGTTACTAACTTAGTATTTATGTGTAACCTGCTATATGAGATTTTATCTCCTTATCAACCATCCCACAACAGGGCAGTTTTCAAACTTACTGGATGGTTCTCAAACCTATGTATGATACATAATGTTATTTATGGATGCCCCTTAATCAAAATACTATATCTTTTAATAAACACCTTACCTTTCACTTCTTATAAAATCAGAAAAAATAACAATATTAGCCACTTAATAGCAACTAGAGCTGCCATTTATATTAAATATATTCTATAACTACTACATATTCCTATACAAGTCATATTATATGTTTCTATAATTATATTTTATACACTAAAATTGACCTATCACTACTTATTTATAATACCTACTTACTATATTTTAACAACAATCTAACCTTCAACAATATCAAAACAACTATTAAGAAACTTCATATTGCAACTAATATAAACTTCTAGTTATACATGCTGATGAAATTATTTTGGGTTCTAAAGCCCAAAATTAAAATTTGAAGACAAAATTAATTTGAATCTATTTTACTAAAAAGATAAAATTTTTTAACACTTTTTTTGAATAGACAAAATTATAAAAAATATAAATATAGTAAAACCTTATAAATACATACCCTTGAGACCGGGCATATGCACTTAGAAAGAGAGTGCATTTAGAGATTAGCCAATAGATTTAGCATAAGACTATAATATTAATGTATATACTATATAATTAACCTTTAACTATTAATATTTCTTTAATATTCTCAAAAATATTAAAATATTTATTTAAGAATATTAATTTGTAATTTTAGTATTGGAGTTTAATAAAATTGATAATGTTAAAGTAATTATAGCTATAACATAATTAAGTGCACAAAAGTAAAGACCTGTAAATAATCTAATGATTTATACTAAACAGTTACAAATTTTTACTCTTGGAACTTATTATATTTCTTGTGCATTTAAATAGAAATATATTTCATTATTTATGGATATCCAGTTATTTAGATTTATCTTATATTGTAGTAAAACTTGCAAATATTTGAATCGTATCTTTAATTTTAAGATGTCAACTTCTGATTGGCTATCATAATATAATTATCATATGAGTGCATTTATAGATAAATTTTTAATATATATGGAACCCAAAATCATTGCATATATAGAACATAGAGGATGTTTAAGTTTCAAGCTTGGAACCAGGCTATGGTGTACATGTAAAAAGGTTGTGTACTTATAGAGAGTGTACTTATAGAGGTTTTACTATATAAAATTTTAAATACTCTTCTTTATAAAAATTTTAATTTGCTCTAATAAAAATAAAATAGACCTTTTTCAAAAATCAATTTTGGTAACATTTATACTTCTAGTATATTCTAAATAAAATTCAAAGATGCTCAAAATTAACTTTTAATATTAGATGGAATCTAACTTTCTAATATCTAAAATTTAATGACCAACTACAACAACACTATATAAACTCTAAAGAATTAGTAATAAAAAATTTCTAGTTCAAAATTTTAATGAATGGGTTACCCAATCAATCTAATTTATTCAAATATCATTTATACAAGTTCTCCTCATCTTATTGCAAATATTGTAATAATGAATTGAAACAGATATACACTGGCTTATCTGTTATACTAATAATATCTCTATGTCTAATTTACAGTCAAACCTCTCTAAATGCAACCTCCATAAATGCAAGACCTCTCTAAATGCACAGTCTTGCTGTAGCTCTACTATATATACACTTATATATTTTTATCTCCCTAAATGCAATACTTCTCTAAATACAAGATTTTTTGTGATCTGTACACAGTACACTTACGGAGGGTTGACTGTACTTAAAAATATTCTAACCTAATTTGTTTCTAAACATAATCTTACAATTACAAATACTAATAACTTCATTCAAGCATATATCAAGATTTATATAAACAACAATATACCAATAGGCATAATAACTGAAAATATGTGAGATGTGATAACTTAGTATAGTGGTCTAGTTATTACTTTTTTCAAGTAGCAAATCTAGAGTTTGAATTCTACTAGTGCTAATTTTGAAAAATAGGTTTATATATAGTTAACAGTAATTTATAGGTTGGATCTAAGATTAATTTGTAACTCTGGTTTCACTATTTAGTAATGAAAACTTTGGCACAATAAATTTAGAAAATTAGAAAAACTGAAGACCTGTTTGGCAAGTTCTAAGTTTGAAGATAGCAGTAATCTTTGATGATACTACAGGAGAGCTGAATTTGGACCAGAGACTAAAATTAAAAAACTAAGCGACCAGGTCCTAATAACAGAAGACATATCAGCTAAATCGCTGAGCAGTGTTGTACATTTTGGCTGTCCAAGGCCTTTTTTGGCCTTGTCTATGTCTATAATATCCAAGTGTCCAAAGCTTATACAGGCTTTAATAATTAATAAATTTGTT